CTTTTATATAAATTTTTTTTTTGTGCATGAATAGCTAAAGTTGACAAAGCCCAGAGAATAAAGGAAACTGCACCTTTGTAGATCGAACTAAAGGCTAGTCCTAAACTAACTACTAGTTTAACGCAGTCAATTAATATAGATGATCCTTTTAGAATCAAGTGAACTAAAGTTTCGTCTTTAAGCTTAGCTTTAAGATAATGAAATGCAAAGAATATCTCAGCACATGCAATAAAAGCATCTAATAACCAAAAAATAGAGCTTTTTTCCGTAGTAATATTATCCTCAGCATAAACAATATGAAGTATTAAAATTGTATAAAAAATATACATAATATGCAAACAGTTTAAAGCTTTCATCTGTAAAGAATGTTTGAATTTATAGATAATGTCACCAAAGAAAACCTGAATAACTAAATAGTACAACAGAATTCAGGCTTTCAAATTATTTGAGATAGTATAATAGAATCCAGGCTTCAAAAATCATTAAAGCCCACATTCTGATACACGAAAGCTTTAATATGGGTAATTATGCATCCAGACTAAAATATTATTACGTCATATATATAATCGGGCCGGGTTCAAAAATAATTACCCATATTTAGATATATACTTCTTTCTTGTTTATTCTGCGTAGTTTGATTTTTTTTTTAAAAAGTACTTTAAACTGTAACATTAAATAGACTCAAACAGCCAATCATACGAAAGTCTTTCTATGAAGTACTACTGATCAGCGGACTTTATTTATTACGTTAAAAATAAACCAAAATTGAAAATTTATAGAAACTATAAAATGAATTATTATTTTTATTCTGTGTTGGATTGATCAGGGATAATAAAATATATAATTCGATTAATACGTATTATTGAACCGTTTTTCAAGTTTCCTTATTTGGGATTGTCTCTAGTAAACACCACCAAGAGTCTAGACACTTTTGCAGTAACGTGATATTGCGTATTGTGGTTAGGGTTGCAACTTATACTGTATTTAGTAGATTCGACCCAAGCCACCTCAGCGTCGATTTACCCTTTCACAGCGTACATACGTACGCACGGCTAAAGATGAAAAAGGTCATTTGAGTGATATCTGAAATCTGTTGAAGGTGAAAATTCGAATGGACAATATAATGTTGGAATCTGCAATGACAAAGGATAAGGAGAAAGGAAAAGCATTTGAGTAGTATTTGAAATCTGCTAAAGTTGACATTTCGAATGAACAATTTAATGTTGGAGTTTGAGATGACGAAGATATTGGCACAGATCAGGATGAAAAATGCATTTGTGTGGTATTTAAAATATGCTGAAGGTGGCAATTACAACGGACAAAACAGTCTGCAACCTGCCATAAAGATGGAATATGAGCTACCATAGATGAAAAGAAGGCATTTGAATGGGTTTAAAATCTGCTGAGAACGGTAATATCACTGCGCAGAATAATCTTGCATCTTATTATGAACATGGAGTAGGCACAGTTAAGGATGAAAAAAAGACAATTGAATGGGATTTGAAATCTTCCAAAGGTGGTAACCCTGGTGAACGATATAAGCTTGGATTATACTATCGTAATGGTATAGGCGTATCGCCTAATCAGGAAAAAGTAAAAAATTATTATACAAAATCAATAAATTATGAAAATCTTGATGTCGAAGATTTTTTAAAATAATTATTGCTTGAAAATAACTTATTAATACCGTGAATTCTATTCAGTGAACTTGAATTTTGGACAAAAAAATCGGAGAAGGTGGAGTTGCAACCGTGTATGCTGCTATATGGAGGCATTTAACTCATTCAATTATGGATGCTGTAAAGACAGAAACTGTTACTTATAAATTATTTCATGGGGGACATTCTATAGAATAAGTCGGCAATATAAGAAATAAGCTTCGATAATGATTAGTAATCATTAATTTTTAATAGCGGGGTTGCGGAGTTTGCGGAGTTTGCCCACCTATTCTATAGAACATCCGTTAGGTTTACTATCTTATATCGCATCTGATCTTAATTTAATTCATTTAAATGATATTATTCATCGAGATTTACATAGTGGAAATATTCAAAGAAATTTACGTAGTGCTTATATTGGAGATTTGGGATTTGTAATAACAATTTATAAGGCATTAGAGAATTTATAGGGCTTTACCATATATAGCACCAGAAATTTACGTGGAAAGGAATGCGTACTAAAGCATCAGATATTTATTCATTTGGAATGATTATATGGAAGACCTCTTCAGGTAGAGCAACATTTTTTGAATACAAAGATGATTATATAGGATGGATTGACCAACTATGATTAAAGGTGCAACACCATGCAATGAAAGTCTTATGAAGAAATGCTAGCTTTAGAAATTCATGAAACTATATTAAAATGGAAAAATAGTCTAGAAATTTTTGACAAAATTTTAAAATCTGAAGAAATGGTATTTGAAAACGATTCTTTTAATAATATAGATAATAATACGGTTCATATTAACAAGTTTAGCAACTATATTTCAGATAATAATATTTAATGTTTTCCAAGTGTAATATTATAAAAGTGAATATTATTTTTAATTTTTTGTCATTTATAAATTATTTGAACTGCTTTGTTTTAAGCTTTGATATTACGTAAGGAATTTCGTCTAACCTCAATATAGCATTTCAATTTTAAACAAATTTCTTAACATGTATT